TAATTCACACTGATGCCAGCAACGTAGGTTTAGGCGCTGTACTCGTCCAGTGGCAAGACTCAGCCGAGAGAGTGATTGCATATGCAAGTAGGACGCTTTCCCGTGCCGTGTCCCATAATTCCACAACGGAAAAGGAATATCTTGCTGTAGTATGGGCAGTTCTGAAGTTTCGCCCATACCTCTACGGTCGTCCCTTCCACGTAGTCAGCAGAATCCAACAAAAGTACTACTGGCCGAAGCTTCCAGGCACAGTAAAGCATTACGTCCGCACGTGCCTCGATTGTCAACGACAAAAATCGCCACCTTTAAAACCAACCGGATTGTTGCAACCAGTTCAAGTGCCCACCATGCCTTTTGCACAAATCGGAATGGATCTCCTTGGACCATTTCCGACTTCGCATACTGGAAATAAGTGGGTAATTGTCGCTACAGACTATCTTACTCGCTACGCAGAAACAAAGGCTTTATCCAGTGGAACCGCAGTAGAAGCGGCACGATTTTTCATTGAAAATATCGTTCTGAGGCATGGTGCTCCTAGAATTATAATAACAGACAGAGGTACCGCTTTCACGGCCATGCTCCTCAAGTCAGTGCTTGAGTTGAGTGGAACAGCGCATCGAAAAACTACCTCCTACCACCCACAAACCAACGGCTTAACAGAACGCCTCAACAAGACAATTGCTGATATGCTTAGTATGTACATCGACGTGGATCATAAAAATTGGGACGACGTTCTACCATACGTGACGTTTGCCTATAATACGGCGCAGCAGGAAACTACACGGAGCACGCCATTTAGTCTTCTTATGGCCGTGAAGTGACGACAATGCTTGATGCCATGCTGCTGCACGACTGCGAGGATACAGACACGGATGTTCAAGCCTTTACCCAATGAGCTGAAGAGGCACGGCAGCTAGCACGCGCGCGAATCGCCCGACAGCAGAGTTACGACGCACAACGTTATAACCTGCGACACCGATACGTCACTTATCAACCAGGCGAGAAAGTGTGGGTCTGGAGCCCTATTCGCCTACGCGGCCTTTGTGAAAAGTTACTGAAGAAGTACTTTGGTCCCTACAATGTTATACGGCGCCTAAGTGACGTGAATTACGAGGTCATCCCTGACATTCCTCGCGAGCTCAAAAATCTGAAATCGTACACGTTGTGCGGATTAAGCCATATTGCAGTGAGCCAGTTGCGTAATACGTCAACTACATACACCGCGTATTCTGTAGCCGAGCATCGGGTCGATGCTCTTCCTGGAGGGAGGCAAATGCCGCATTCAACTGCAGAGGAGAGCTCGCACAGCCAGAGAAGAAGACGAAGCTCTTGCCCGGTCCTCTTTACGAGCGCGTTTCATTTTTAATTAAAGTGAACTCTTCTATATCGAACTCCTGCTGTGTCTGCGTCATGACAATAGTTTCAATGCTGAAGTCAAAGTTGAGCGCGTAAGGAGTGAGCGTTTATTAGGGGCGAAGCTCTTTAAAGCGGCACCCATTCGTCCCTCGTAGTATTGCGTAACATGTCTTACGCTTTGACCTGCAAGGTGGTGCCGGTGGGAGATTTCTCCTGTGCGCTGTGGCACAATAAAACATTCGCAGCGTGCGCGTAATTAAAAGCCTAATTCTCTTGTCTCTCATTCCCCATTAGCAGCCATTGGCATGTACATTGAGCACTATCTGACAAGAAAGGGTTGCTACGTTATACTCGCTGGGCGTAACCTCCTTGGTCTTAGAAAGGTTTAGCGAGCGTTGAGCCGCAGTGTTATGAATACAGTGAACTAGTATATACCATGAGCTCGAGGTGGTTAAAGGAGGGAAGTAGACACGAAGCGCAAGCCGTAAGAAAGTGTGCGTGTGCCACCTCTCGTTTAGTCCTTGGAATGTCTGCTGGATGGCGGTGCTTTTATATTGGGAATATATGATGAAAAGATGCGAGATGGTGGTACTTGGAGCGTTGAATAGATGGACGAACGGACACACAGACAGATGCATAGATGGACGCAAGGATGGCTGCACGGACGGATGGACGCATGGAGAGACGCATGGACGAACGCAAGGATGGACGTGCAGACGCTCGAAGAGACGCACGCACGGACGAGAGGATGGACGCGCGGACGGTCACACAGACGGACGCATGGACGGAAGGATGCTTCGCCCCACTCTCCGTCATTCACCCCATGGATATGATGCCATTTTTTTCAGACTAATAAGTACACCATCGTGTCTCCTGTCAATACAATCTTTGTGGTATGTGTTGAAGTGTTCACTATCAGTAAAAAGAGAGGTGTGTGTGTGTGTGTGTGTGTGTGTGTGTGTGTGTGTGTGTGTGTGTGTGTGTGTGTGTGTGTGTGTGTGTGTGTGTGTGTGTGTGTGTGTGTGTGTGTGTGTGTGTGTGTTCAAACAGGCTTCCTGCCTGTTCATTTCGCAAAGTGGCGGCACTTCGAAAATCTTTCCATAAACATTCGGCAGATCCCTCATGCCTTGGGAATCTGCGTTATGCGAAGCATGTGGAGGGAAGGGGACCACGTTGTAATTTGTTAATTGAGCGATAAATTATGAAATGACGCTTAATGCATGTGCAAATATTGCACGCACCGACATATGTTGAACAGTATCAGATGGTCATATAACCAGTTGTTTGCACTTGCGCAACGATGGCAACGCGAGCATGATTATTCACTACAGCTGAAGCGATAAGCTTATATAAAGCGCTGGGGTTGGCGAGTATAGTAGCCCTGGACACTGGTACATAAAAGAAGTTCAGCTCATGGCACAAAACAGCAATTGACGATAACTCGACCTGGCTGCTGTATCATATGAGTGCGTATATGATGTTTATAAAATTTGATAGCTGCAATCACAGTTAGCGTTTAACGAACATTAGGGTCTATTTGAAAAGTAGTTATGAAACGAGGCGTGGCTCTGTAGAATGCTTGATTGCCACGCAGAATGTTGGGGTTCGATTCCTGTTGGCACACTGGTATACAATGGAACATCTTTGCATAGAAATTAACATCGTTAGTGATAAGTATTGCATTCGGAGTTCCCATAGCTGCGAGAATTGACGGGGGGACCTCCTAATACTAGAACATATGTACTCGATAAATGTCATGGGCAACATGAGAAAAAACAATGCAAGTATTAAATTAACAAGACAGCTAAAGGAGCTACATACAAAAATGAAAGGAAGAAATGAATTCCAGCTCCGTACACTTTCCCAAGATGTGCAGCAGGCCACAAGGGATGCCTACCCCGCCAGTGACAAATGTTCTTCGCCACGTGACTCCCTGCTTCCGGTCGATCAGCTGGGCTCGTAGGCGATCGTCCAGCTCTCACCTTGATGAGAGACTGGAGCGGCTTGGGACATCGCGCTCACTCGGCTTCCGAATCGGCCAAGATCATGTGCCGTCATCCCACCGGCGACTGGATTCGAACTCAGGTGAGAATCTGGTGGATGCGCTCGGTACGTACCTACCAGATACTGACGCTCCCATCAGTGTTTGAACCCGCTGCCAGCCAGGGTATGAGAGTGAGCGCTTCGAGGCACACGGCCACCACCCTGGGTATTACGATACGGTTAAGGCTAATATATATATCTTTGCTGGTACTTGATAAAACAGAGATAAGTTGGGACTTGTGGGTGACCATGCATCCACAGATGCTGCATATACGTTCACTGTTGATAGGGGACATCAGTGGTAGCAATGCAGCAGTATGAGCCGTGGTCACATCGCGAACAATGTAGCAGATGACGAAAATTGTGGTTTTTACAATTGGAATACGTATTTATCAATAAAATACACTGACCTTATAAACCCTTGTTTTCTTGGTAATTTTGATGATTCGGTTAATTCGGTCAGCTTTTACGGTCGTGTTAAATCTTAATCAACAAGCTAGTTGTCCTTTTAATGTTTTAAAGTTATTACTTGTCGATAAACAAGCCCCTAAGGAATTTATGTGCTTGTTGGCAAAAAAGAAAAGAAATTATTTGTCACCATGTAGTCAAGAGATAACACACAGTGGATGAATGGTAAAACTTTAGTTTGCCAGAAAGCAACTGCGGACGATTCTATGTTAGATGGCCATCAACCCATGGTTGACGGCAACCTGTGTGGTCCACTCCACGACCCTTGTCTGGACGACTGGGTCTGAGCTGGTCAACACGGCCTCCCAGTGCACTGCTCAAGAGAGGGATCCCGCATTATATCCGTCCGTGGTGGCACCATGCTACATTCACAAAGTATGTCATCACATGCCAGGCACTGCGCCGTGTCGCCCAAGAGGCAGACAAAAATTAGGTGTTTTCTTCCCTCCTTTTCAAGAATTATTCAATAATATGTTGCCACTGCCTGGCACCATTTTCATTGCGGCTTTATCTCCTCTAGGTATATTTTGTTTAACACGTAAGGGATGGGGAAAGATCGCATCTGCTATTTTCTGCAGACGCATTCCTGCGCCTTAGTCGACCACCTGTGCGGGGGTGGATAAAGCCTCCACTCTAGTTTAAAATGATTCGTGATGTCGTGAAAGGACACCAGCCGACCTCTCACGGACCAAGTCTTCCTAGACGTAAAAAGACCCGTTTGTGTGGGTTAATAATAATAATAATAATAATAATAATAATAATAATAATAATAATAATAATAATAATAATAATAATAATAATAATAATAATAATATTATTATTATTATTATTATTATTATTATTATTATTATTATTATTATTATTATTATTATTATTATTATTATTATTATTATTATTATTATTATTTGGACGTAACGTGCGGATTGCGAATGCGAGATAGATGAGGACTATTGTTTAGGACCAAAAAGACATTCTTTTTACTCGTCTTCTTTTTCTTTCTTTTTTTTTTTGTTCGAGTGAACGACTGAGAATCACCAGCAAATTTTTTTCTAGCCTCAGCTTCGGCTTGAATCTACTAATTTGGGCCCTACGTTGGCGACATCTCGTGCCGATATCAGACACAAAGCGGCGCTGGCGCCACTTGAGCGATAGTGGCGACCGGCGGCGGTGTACAAGTGCGAATACGCAGTAGAAATCGTGTCGGCGCCGGTTGCGTTGTCTTCTGATCCAGAGCTCAGTTCAAAGCTGCTCAAAAATGTCGGGTCGCGGGCAGTTGTTCATCGGTCGCTTGCCGTTGGACACCAGGGAGAGAGATGTGGAACAAGTATTCGAACGCTACGGCCGTCTCCTGCGATGCGACGTCAAGTACGGTAAGCTGGCGTGTTCGTATTCTCTAGGCCTTGCGCGTGTGTTCCATGGCCCGGTCTTTGAGGCTATACCGCGAGCGTGCGTTTAGTGTGCTGCTTGAAATCAATTTATTGCGGTGGTGACCTCGCTTAACAAGAATGTTCTCCCGTCCTCTAGGGATGAAAACTTAGAAATTTACTAGCGCGCGTGTCTGTGGATACCGGCGCCGGAACAAAGCTTCGGTGTTGGGCAAGATGGCTGCCCACGCATCTGTACTGCATCACGTGGTCGTGTTTCATTTAACCGAAGATCGGTTATTGTTTTTTTTTTTTTTTTGTTTCCGCGGTTGCACAACGAGCGGGTCGGCGTTGAGACCTTGCCGCGCGCTTGATAAGGATTTTGTTGCGTCGCCGATAAATCGGTCTCGTTTTTCGGTGTTGCGCGAGGCCCGAGAGAAAACGCATCGCGCACATGCTCGCGTTTTGCCCTTTTCGATTAAACTGGGGGAATATTTCGCCGCTTGCTGTGTGTGACGTGTGCATGATCGTAGCCGGCGCCCACGATCTCTACGAATTTGCTGATGTGTCACCCGCGTTTCTGTTTTGGCGCTGCTCGCATTACCACCCGATGCTCTGTTCAGGATTTTTAAAGACATTTTGGAGGTCGCTTGCTTGCAGTTTGCTGTGTTTTTACACGCCCACGCTTTTGTAACGTTTCGAGTGAAGCGCCAGTATGTTGGCCAGGATTCCGCGCGGCTTCACTCGAAGGAGCGAGTGGTGGTGGTAGTAGTGGTTAGAAGGCGCCTAATTTATGCAGTTTGGTAGGAAGTACGGTGCAGCGCCTGGGGTGCGATTCCCGACCATGGTGGTCATGTTTGATTGAGGCTGAGGTGCTAAATACACGATGGAGAGGACGTACAAACGCGACACAAGAGAGGACGGCAGAAACGAGGTGTCTTTCTTCCTCGAACCAACAACAGACGCCTACTAACAACTGCTAAGGTGCACGATGGCGGAATAGTAAAATACGAAAACGTACCTGCGCATGCTCATCCGATTGGGCAACCTATCAACCGGGTGCGCTTTGGAGGGCGCGAAATCGCGTATTTGTCGCATTTTGGCATGCAGTTACTCTGGACGCGAGAATTCGATGAATGCGCAATTTTGTACCGGCACAAGAATCATTGAACGCGTTTTGTAGTTGAGACCTCGGTTATCGATAATAGATATGATGACGCATGCCTGAGCCAACCATCAAGTAACCTGCACAAAAAAATCAGATGCGTTATCTGTCACGTAGACCCCACGCGCGCCGTATTGATAGGTTTGCCTATTGCATGGGCATGCGTAGATAAGTTTCGCCTCTCTCCCCCCTTTCTTTTTCTACTTTGTGCGGCTTTTAATCTGCCTTTGTGGTTTATTCTATCTGGTGTTCGTTTCACATGCCTTGTCTATTTACAATGAATACCGGCCATCTAGCTAGGCTGTCTCATTCTGTGCAAAACAAACGTGTGTGTACCATATGTAGTCAATTGTAACGGGAGGGGGACTTGTTTTTCTGTCTGGAAAGAAAAAAAAAGTTAGTATTTGATTGCAATGTTAGGTGGACTTCAGGTAGCAAAATGTGGAAAAGTTTCCTTGCATTCGATTAAATTCTGTACGTACAGCGAACTTCACAGAACACCAGGTGTACGTGTGTAATGCAGTCACTCATCTCTGCTTTACGGTCTCGTGATCAGATGTACTTTATCTAGTAAAACCGTACAGCTTCTAGTGGAACCACACTAAAAAAAAAACCCTTAACGGGTCACGTTAGGCACCTTGCTGCCTTTCTTCTTTGCCAATTATGCTCAGTATAAGTTAATTTGGTTCGTATTCACATTCTTTGCATGTGTGGGCCAGCACGTCCACTTTAAATTGTGGTATCGTTAATCTGCTGTATATTAAGGTAATGTTTGCTTGAATCACATAGTGTCTTATTTATATGCAGTACTCTTAAGAAGCTTACTTTGCTTGGAGTAACTATCAGAGTTGTCATTAAGTGCAGTTAATCATGTGGTATTATGCTTAACATGAGCAAATTGTTGCAAGCTATTTTGCAGCTGTTTTGAGTGCTCCTTTAAAGGTCTAAAAATTTCCAATCATTTTATGTCTGTCTCCTTGCATGAGGCATTGCATATTGAGTTTATTACTGCAGCACCCGACAGTGCATTCCGATTGCTTGACTCTAGTTCGGTGTAAATTTGCCCTCACGAAACATCTTCATTCCCCATAAATTGCTGTTAATTTTACTTGCACTTTTTTACTTAGTGTGCCAAGCTGTATTTCACTTGCGTTTATTTTTTACTTGATGTGCCAAGCCGTACCTGCTATTTTGTACAGTTTTATAAACCGCAGGGGAAAAGTAGAATTTAATGTGCTTTATATCATCACAGTCTTAATTTCAATAGGGGTACAGTGTCACTCGGGGAGGATATAGAGGACGCTAAATATGTATTTAACGCAGGAGCTGGGATGGCTGTACGAAAAACCATATTCAGTAGACGTCTTCCTCCTCCTTCACATTGTTCTCATGTAGTTTGTGGCACGTTTAATCTATTTGCAGCTAAATCAATGATTTGTTTGCCACTGATGGGTGAATCATTGGCACAGCAGTGTTGTAATGAATTTCAATGCCTCATGTTCATTACTTCTTTATATTCATTGGCAGTTAAAGCTGTGATCTGTAAACAAAAATTTCAATGTAAATGAGATTTGGTGATCAGCTTGAGATTTATCCACCTGCAAACTTTCCTATTTCTATTTTTCTGTTAAGCCCCCAACTCAAGTACTGTTAGACTGTTCCTTTTTTTGTATGTGCATATGTATATATTGTCACGCACCAAGAGCCGTGAGGACAAGACAGGAACAGCGGGGCAGAAAGACACGAGCGTGTATCGTTAAACGAAGCGCTAACACACACTTCGTTGTTCTCTTTTCCCTTTTCGGCTCGCTAGGGCTTGCCAGCTCACAACTCTAGGTGGCATTACTCCCCCTCCCATTAGTGCATCGACTCAATGTTCATACACAAGGTGACAGCAGGGCCCATAAGGGAATAAAAAGAAAGGGATAAACGATACTTATAATGCGCAGGGCATATGCAGGTGCAAAAAAAAAACGAAAAATGTCTGTGGTTGGTCATAAGAAAAAACATTAATGCAGTTCAAAGTTCGTTCGAGACCCTATGGACAACGAAAAAAAAGAGAAAATGTTTGCTGCCCTGGCACAATAAGGTAAGTATTACCGCGTAAAATAAGGTTTTAAGCGGACGACATGCACAATCTCTTCGTGGTGAGTGGGGCTGGGTCGTTGCCAAGCCTCCGTCTGGAATGACTTCGTAGTTGACCTCGTTCAACCACCGTAATACTTTGTAGGGTCGGAAGTACTTGCTCAGGAGTTTCTCGCCGTCTAACAGGAGTCCAAACCCACACTTGGTTGACAGGTTGATAGGTAACTGGTCGATGGTGAATGTTGTACCTTTGGGAGTCTTTACATTGCTGCGATATTATGTGCACATGAGCTACTTGACGTGCTTCCTCTGCACGCTGAATGTAATCCTCGACATCAGGAGTTAGCAGCTCGTGCTGGTCGATGTCACAAAGAATCATGGCGTCTAGCATGGTTTGCACGTCTCGACCGTAAACAAGGCGGAAGGGTGCGAACCTTGTCGTTTCTTGGGTTGCGGTGTTATACGCAAACATTCCGTATGGCAGGATCTCGTCCCACGTTTTATGCTGCACCTCCGCGTACATAGAAATCATGTCAGCCAGTGTTTTGTTTAGCCTTTCTGTCAAGCCATTACTCTGGGGGTGGTATGCGGTTGTCTTACGGTGGTTCGTGTAACTGAGCTTGAAGATGTCGTCCAACAGTTTTGCCGTAAACGCTGTCCCTCGGTCAGTGATAATGAATGACGGGGCGTCGGGACGAAGCACTATGTGGTACATGAAAAACTGGGCGACTTCAGATGCTGTACTGCGTGGCAGTGGCTTCGTTTCAGCGTAACGGGTCAAATAATCAGTTGCGACGATGATCCATTCGTTTCCAGAGTGAGACAAAGGAAACGGTCCAAGGAGGTCCATCCCAACTTGGTTAAACAGCGTGCGCGGTGGGTCGATAGGTTGTAGGGAGGCCTGCAGGCTTTACAGGCGGTGACGCTTTCACGTAGCGTTTGACACAAGCTGCAAGTTTTGGCCAGAAATATAGCTGTCGTACTCGGTCGAGCGTCCGTGAGTATCCCAGATGGCCGGATGTCGGCTCATTGTGGCAGGCTAATAGGATATCATCACGAAGGTCTTGAGGAACAACTAGAAGATAAGATCTGCTGCCAGCACCGGTGTTTTTCTTGTATAATATGCCGTGTCGTAAGCAAAATGACGGCCACGTACGGGAAAGTGGTCGAGGAATAGACGAGGTGCTGCCTTCTAAATGGTCGACGATGGGTCTTAACTCGGAGTCCACTCGTTGCTTACTGAGGAGGTCCACTCCACTGAGAGTCCCCAGGAAGGCACTGTCGCCTTCTACAGCTGTATGGTCGGATTCCAGAGGTGCTCGTGATAGCATGTTGGCGTCTTCATGCTTTCTACCCGACTTGTATACGATGGTGACATCGAACTCCTGAAGTCGCAGACTCCATCGTGCTAATCGCCCAGAGGGGTCTCGGAGGTTAGCCAACAAAATCGCCCATATTTCCGCGAGACATTCCTTCTTCGACGTTGAATAGTTGGTTTCGGCACGTGATAAAGTGCGGCTCGCGTAGGCAATCACACGTTTGGTCCCATCTTGTGTTTGTACCAAGATAGCTCTGAGACAAATGTTGCTTGCGTCAGTGCGCACCTCTGTGTCAGCGTCCTCATCGAAATGATCAAGCACAAGAGGGGAAGACAATCGATGTTGCAGTCCCTCAAAGGCAGTCGCTTGTTCGTCAGTCCACAAAAATGGGGTGTCGTCACGTGTAAGTCTGATGAGTGGCTCCACAATCTTAGAGAAGTTTTCGATAAAGCGGCGATAGTATGCGCAGAGCCCCAGGAATCGTCGAAGACTTTTCTTGTCTGTCGGAGCTGGAAAAGCGGCTACAGCGGCAGTCATCTCGGGATCGGGCCGAACGCCTGCAGCGCTCACAACGTGACCGAGGAACTTCAGTTTTTTGTAGCCGAAATGGCACTTCTCAGACATGAGGGTAAGGTCAGCGGGTCGTATAGCTTCAAGAACACTCGGAATGCGATGAAGGTGCTCGTCAAACGTTGTTGAAAAGACAACGCATCATCTAGACAGACGAGGCAACTTTTCCACTTGGGTCAGCGAGAACGGTATCCATCATTTGTTGGAATGTGGCCGGAGCGGAACAGAGACCGAATGGGAGCACTCGGAATTCATACAGACCGTCGGGAGTTACAAAAGCAGTTTTTCCGCGGTCACGTTCATCAACTTCAATTTGCCAGTAACCACTCTTGAGGTCGATTGAGGAAAAGTACTTTGCTCGTTTCAGCCTGTCAAGAGAATCATCCACTCGAGGCAACGGGTACACGTCTTTCTTTGTGACATTATTTCAGCTTCCTCTAATCGACACAAAAGCGAAGTGTACCATCCTTCTTCTTTACAAGGACCACTGGCGATGACCAAGGGCTGCTTGATGGCTGTATTACACTGTCTTGAAGCATTTCCTTCACTTGCTTTTGAATTGCGCGTCGTTCAGTTGGTGAAACTCGGTAAGGCTGCTGCCGTATAGGTTGCGCGTCGCCGTAGGTGATAATACGGTGTTTGATAATCGATGTCTGACGGATTCTCGATGAACATGCAAAACAGGCGTGGAATTCTATCAATAAGTCATCAAGCCTTCGTTTGTTTTCGTCAGAAAGCGTTGGATTTACGTCGACACACTGGAGAGGTGCTTCGGCATTATCGGTCGCCTCGGAAGCAAAACACTCAGCCACATTGGTTACTGGGTAGGCATAGGCGATGACAGTACCAGTGAAAAGGTGTCTGCGCTCGTAGCTGAAGTTTGTAACAAGAACCTCGCAGTGGCCAGCCTGGAGGTCTACTAGGCTTTGTGCTACGCAGACACCCTGGGAAAAGAGCAGGGTTGCTCGATTGCTCTCCGCCACCATTTCACCGTGTGATGATTCGTTACACGCCACTTGAACCATAACACTTGAGCGCGGTGGTATCATCACATCATCGTCAATTACACGCAGACATACTTGATCGCGGCTGGGATTATGCTCTGGTGTGGCGCTTTTTGTTGAAAACGTGACGAAGTGTTGTCGAATGTCGATGATAGCACCATGCTCCCTCAGGAAATCCATGCCAATGATCAGGTCTCGAGAACACCGACGGAGAACGCTCAAGCTGACAACAAAGGTAGAACCACGAATCTGTATTCGTGCTGTGCAAACGCCGAGTGGCGTGACGATGTGCCCGCCAGCAGTACGAATTGGCCTGAGGCTCCAAGGCATCGTGACTTGCTTCAGGAGAGCAGCCTGTTTTACACTTATTATAGAAAAATCCGCACCCGTGTCAACTAAAGCACTGACTTTGCGACCGTCGAGCAGCACTGGAATGTCTAATGAAATCTTTGCGGAACCAGCTGGTGTCATCGTCGCGGTATCGTCAGTTTGCGGAAGCGTCGGTAGGAGGCCTTGAGCTTGTCCGGTATGAGCGGCCTCGCCCCCGAAGGTCGCTGTGGTTAGTTTCCCGGCGGGTACTGGGTGACCGACCCTGCGCCACGCTCAAATAGGTACGGCGATTAGGAGAAAATTGCCGCGGTGACAGGGAGCGTGACTGGTGCAAGGACGGCGAAGTTCCGTGCTGCTGAGCCACATACTCTTCAATTTCAGGGGGCCGCTGACCGAACCTGGGTGGCGGTGAGTTTGTAGAAAATCCGCGTAGTCCACGTTGTCGGTAATAACAGTGTCGGTGCAGATGCCCAGCTTCGCCACAGTGGAAGCGGAGAGGACGTCTATCTGGCGCACGCCAGACGTCCGATTTCCGCGAAATCAGGCGAGGTGCGCTGTAATATGGCGCCGCTTGGACCGTCTGCAGCATGGCTGGGGCCACGGTGGGATACGGGATTGCGGGTGTAACAGGTTGCCGCAAAGCTTGAGCATACGACATGTGGGGGAAGTCACTGGGTGGTTGATCATCCCGTATGAAAGAAGGTTCTCTTAAGGCATGCTGGACTTAATCTCGGACTACGCTGGACAACGAGGAGATAGTGGGCTGCGAGGGCACTGACAGCTTCTGGAGTTCTTCGCGGATGACTGAACGTATGAGCTGTCGGAAGAAATCCATTTGGCCACCGAAAGCTCCCAAGTAGTCCGTAGTTGAAGCGTTGACGTGCCGTTCGTGTGACGGGGCCCGGTGCCCAAGAGTGCTTTCGATGGTGTCGGCTTCTCCGAGAAATTCGGACGCAGTCTTGGGAGGATTGTGCACAAGCCCACCGAAAAGCTGTTCTTTCACCACGCACGTGAGGTACCGTACCTTCTTTTCTTCTGGCATGCCGGGGTCAGCTCGGTGGAAAAGACGCGTCATGTCCTCGACATACATCGCAACCCCTTCATTCGGCAGTTGTATGCGGGACTGCAGATCGCGCTCAGCTCTCTCCCGCCGGTCAGGGCCGGCACATGTCCCAAGAAGTCGGCACGATGTAAGAATACCTGCCTGGTTCTCATACCATACACGTGCGCCGTCCAAAAGACTGAAATACACGTGCCGCAGTTTGTCTGCGTCGTCCCACTGGTTGTGCACGACAACGAACTCGTAATGAACGAGCCGATCTTCTACATCCTCAAGTGCAGTGCCATCAAAGGGATTTGGCGTTCGCGGTGTGAGTAAGGTGCAATGAAGCGGCGTTGTGCCGTTCGTGCCATTTGGGTTGGTGTCAGTAGGGCTGGTCGGAGCTGCCATGTTGTTTATGAGCAGTCCAAACTCTGGATTGCCCTCGGATTCTTCTGGTGGTGTGGTGCATAGGAGTGACCACCCGTATGACGCTCGAGTTCTTGCTATGTGGAGGGGTACGGTGCATAAATTACCCAGCACGTCCACCAGTTTGTCACGCACCAAGAGCCGTGAGGACAAGACAGGAATATCGGGGCAGAAAGACACGAGCGTGTATCTTTGAACGAAGCGCTAACACATTCTTTTTTGTTCTCTTTTCCCTTTTCGGCTCGCTAGGGCTTGCCGACTCACAACTCTAGGTGGCAATATATACACACACACCAAGAATTTTCATATTTAACACAAGGTGCAGGGTTTCACTGATATGCTGGTCTTCATTAGTGCTTTTCCAGAAAAAATTTTATTATTGTTGCTGACTGATCGATCAAGCATGGGTTAGAAACAGAGTTTCATCTAGGCTGGTGATGGTCGCACTTCGATAAAGGCAATGTGGTAGAGGCCTGTGTGCTGTGGGATGTCAGTGTACCTTAAAAAACACCAGATTTTCAAAATTTCCAGTGCCCTCCACTATGACGTCTTATAAAAATCGCAACATGGCTTTGGGACGTAAAACCCTCGATTAATATTTATATTAGAGCTTCATGTCAAAGCATCAAAACTGAATGTGCATCTCTGTATGCACATGGATGTATTCTTTCTTTAAGAAAACCATTCCAGGACAGCAATGCTGTTTACCCACTGATGTTTGAATTGCTGCTTGTGTTCTCTGATTGCAGGCACAGGCATGGCATACGCCTTTGTGGATTACGAAGACCATCGCGATGCCGAGGTAAGTGTCCCCTTCTGCTCCTTTGCTGTTGGGCGGGGGGGGGGGGGGGGGGGCGGCTCCCTGGAGTCTTTTACACTTGTAAACCACGCCTGTGGAGCTGCTCTGCAGTTGCAGAAAAGGCTGAGGTTGCATCGTGGATTTTTCAGCCCAATTTCATACTAATGCACACCATACCTTGTTGCTGTGTGCATTTGTGCACCTAGCAGGTGAAACCCTTTTTTATAATCCGAAGATGAAGACTTCTTTAGAAGCAATCCGAATGGGTGCTTTTAATTGTTGCCATTGCGCGAGATCTCTCCACAGGAAGATTTAATTTCTTTTGGAGAGGTCTGGTAACTTGTCAAGCATTACTGGCCAGTCATGCTTTGCATGGTGTGTTCTACCAAAGGTATGGAAAGTCCAGCAGGTATTTCCTCTTTTGTGTCTCTTTATGAGGGTTTTCTAAAGTTAACAAATCAGTGTTTGAAATACAAAAAAAATTGTGCGCCATGCTGCATCTTGTGTTCAAACTTCAGATAAAATGGCAAGCTGTCGCATTTGTAGGAGCAGCCTTAGGTGCTTTTTTTTTTTTTTCATTAGCGGTGCTGGGCAGGGTGGAGTCATAAAAGGAATAATTTACAAAGCAATATCTCAAAATTTTAAACTTCATTTACTACAGTAGTGAATCTATTTCAATGTTGCTGCCTAGGTAAGCTGCAAGCATTTATCAAACATGTTGGCCATGCAGCAAACCGTGATCAAACTAGCAACAGTCACATTGGCAGCAGCACACACAGCGACTAGCTGTTCTTTTTGTTTACTAGGGAATAAAAAAAAAACCTCCGAGGATGGTCACATGGGAGAAAGCACTCATCACATGTGGCTCTCTGCTAGTAGTGTGTGCCTTCTCCAGCCGCTGGCTTATTCCAGTGGACAGACCGCCCGACCGGCTCTGACAGAGAAGGGTGGCTCTGCGGCCTACCGACCGGTGTGAGACCCCTACCGACCGAGAGCTACCGACTCTGGGCAGCCGGCGGCAGCCACGATGATGATGAGAGTGTGTTGCCTTTGTGTGCGGACATGACACGACTGCCCTTCCTCCTCGCGCGTATGCCTACCTCGTGACGAGAGCCGTTGCTTGCAAAGAGAAAATGAGCGATTAAGCAGCCGCCGCCATGTGCGTGCGTATGGCAACAGATCTGTAGCCCCCCCTCGACATCCGGCAGCGACTGGCGTCCCTTCGGGCCCTCCCCGTATGCCTTTTCTGTTTGTTTTATTTTCTTTCTTGGTGATTCTCCAGCTGCCACCGAAGTTGCTGCTTCTCGCATTGCCTGCTCTGTGGCTTGCTGCATGAGCTCTGGGTATTGGTCAGCTTCTGTCCTGTCTTTGACTGGTTACCTCTTTTGCAAGAATCTATTCCTTTGCACTCTTCATTCTGCTTGGCTGGAAGTGCACATCATGTGCATAGCATCTTCTGCACCCGTGTACTATTCCCAGCACTTTTCTGTCATTCGCTTCTCCGCTTTACCATTATAATAAGATAATTCCTCATTTTGGCTCAAGGTGTTCGATTTCACTTCACTGAATAAAGATGGTTCGTTTGCCCATTATACCGGCATATTTTTTTGCAGAGTTGTTAGATTTAAGGTCCTTCAAGAGAATGATAGTTGAACATCAACCCTGCTCAAATTAGGGACATTACCAAAGCGAGTGTTTTGCGCAAGTGTGGTTGTTAAAATGGTTCTGATACAGTAAAGTAGTTAGTGCTTAGTTTTTGTACAGATAGAATGAACTGTCTGTCATTTAGTTGCAGGCACAGTTTGCGAAATTACTGGCAGGAATGAGAGGAATTCACTGCTAGAACTATTCTGTAAAGTGCTGCCTTCATGCTACCTTCTTGCCTTTTCCCTGTTGCACTGGCCTGATATTTTCCTACTTTTTGCAGGAATCTCTGCATGCATGCATGCATCTGTTATGGTATAGGGACATCGAAACTGAAAGCATTGCCAGTTTGCCATTCGCAGCACTTTTCTGTCATTCCCTTTCCTGCTTTACCATTACAATTAGGTATTTCTCATTTTGGTACCAGGTGTTCGATTTCTCTTCCTTTGTTGATTGGTTTCAATCAACTACTGTGTACATAGCAAGGGCTAAAGTGTGTAAAGTGGTTGGCCATGACTACGTTGTCATATTATTAAATAGCTGTAGGTAAAAGCTGCACTGCAAAGCGTCATTTTTTTTATGCTTGCCACTAGTATGTTTAAAAGAAGCACTTAAAATAGTAACTCATCGTGCCTGTTGAAGGCTTTTTACACAAATTTTACGTTGCTATAACCACTGAAAGATGGAAATGACTGTCGATAACTCCAGTAGCAATTTACTTGACATCCCATTGCCTGGACCTACACGTTGTTAGGACCGAAATTTGCATGTACGCATTGCTTTCACCAAGTAGCCCTGTCCTAGAAGTTCAAAATGTCTCTTAATGCATCAACCTTTAACAATTGAACACACAGTACTGTTCCTGAGGAACTTGATGCATTTCTCTGTATGCATGGCAGCTTTCAAGAGCCAAGATTACTTGACCCCGCCGGTGTGGCTAGAAGCAAGTTGTATATTTTTGGGCCTTTGCTAAAACGGCTTCGTACGTTTGGTGTAGGGAGCGCTGGAATGAGTTATAGAAGGTGTTAGTCGTTCCTTTGTACATTGTTTTACACCCCTGCTTGAATGAGTTATAGAAGGTGTTAGTCGTTCCTTTGTACATTGTTTTACACCCCTGCTTGGGCTGATTGTGTTGGTGCTGCTGTGGCGTGTTTGCGTAAGCGTTTCTGAATGCAGCGTGTGCATAAAATTTTATTTCTTGGGAAGGGGGATATTCTTCGGTGGCAGCTGGGGGGGGGGCAGGAGGGGGGGAAGCACTGCGTTTACTGCCCAGCAGTGATGATGACTGGGCCCTCTTCTTCTGCTGCGGTGTGTGTGTGAGAGACGAGTGGCGCTGACCGAAAGGGCTCGCTGGGCCCACTGCAGGACGCAGTCAAGTACGAGAACGGCCGGGAGATCCGGGGCCAGAGCGTGGTGGTGGAGTGGGCTCGTGGGCCCTCCTTTCGGCCATCAGCTGGAAAGGTGAGGGTTTTTTTTGTAGTTCAGAAATAGAAGTGTTTTATCACATTGCTGGTGTAAGTGAACTCGTCCTTAAATATACTTGCCAAATTTAGTTATTTTCGGCCAACTACATTTTTGTAGATATATCGCGTCGTGGTTTAAGAAAATAAGCTTTGTTCGTAGAAACATCAGTGTAGAGCACATGTAATGGTGCTTATGCTGCTTTGTGACAAAGCAAAGCACCCTGCTCAAAATTGTTATTTGTTTGAAACGAGTCTTATACATTTAAGTAGTTATCGACCACTTTTCCAAGTAATCGTCGAATGACCTCAGTTAAGTGCATCGTGTATTTATTGCTGCAGAAATGTTTCGAATCTGTCAAGAGTGACAGGGGTTACCGGGGTCGGTTTTTGATCTTTAGGCACTTCCTCTCACTCATTTTAGCGAGTGTGCTGGAAGCTACCCAGAGGAGGATGGCACGAGGATGTCATTGTATGTGATGAAACATGGTCGCTCTCTCTTCAGACTGAATGCGCGCGACTTTTGGCTGACAGTGTTAGGTCGACATATGGAATGCCGCACCGGCATGTGGTGGCAACCTGTATCAAGAGCACGGACTGCCGGGCGAGTTGGTGAAATATCTTAACTGCGTTGCGCGCAACTCAGTTGAGCTGTATGAAGAATCAAATCCAACCACCACACTTTATTTGTGTCTGCTGTTGGCCAATGGCAGGCTACCCACAGTTCAGCTTTACACGGTGAAATATCTTAACTGTGTTGCGCGCAACTCAGTTAAGCTGTATGAAGAATCAAATCCAACCACCACACTTTATTTGTGTCTGCTGTTGGCCAATGGCAGGCTACCCACAGTTCAGCTTTACACAACGAGCACCGGCAGCTCCTGAGTGAGGACCTGCCTCTGTTTGAAAAAGAAGGTTGCGGAAAAAATGAGAAGCTTCGCTTGTGAACTCTTCTTGCTGGGTGCAACTTTAGCTGAAATGTTAAAAGCCGCCCGTTATGCACAGGATGCGTTTTCATCCAGCCTCATTATCTATTTGTGATGCTAATGAATTGGAGAAATCTCTTGAGCATTTTTTGCTGCAAGGCGTGAATACCTTACGGCTTATCCTCCAAAATGGGATGCCAGTACAAAGCTGGTGTGCGACAAGTTTATGCTGAGCATCAGTTTCGGGTTAATCGTAACAGGCAGAATATGCTGGGGGAACACATTTTTATTTGCACAGAAAAAAAATATGTATCAATTCAAGAACAGCATCAGAATCTGCTCAATCTCAACCAGTTCATAGCGCTTACAGTGCGTGGCTGCCAATCTCATAAAGGCAGAGGTTCAGTCGTGTGGTCACATTTTGATGGAGGGGATTTGCCGGAAACTCATAATGGGAGATGGATGTCAGCAGTGTGTTGAAATACTCTGGGTGGTTTAAATTGGGCTGTCTTAGCAGTGCTGAGTCTCTTTTGGTTATTAAACTATATACAAGTTTGTACCTGGTATAGCAGTGCCAGTGCACTTGATGGGGGATCGCACCTTCAATGCCTGAATCCAAAGCTGCCATTTGACCTTGGCTTTGTGGGTGGCAAGCGAATTTGCTTAATTCTGTTAAAGACTAGCTAGCTTGGCAGCCTAAATTACCTATTCATAGCGTATCACAAGGGCTTCCTCTTCAGTGACTTAATGTGTGTACGTGCATTGATTAATTGCGACATTTAGGGCTGTCAATTCTGCTCTGAGTTGCTTTTAATATTTGCTGCGTTCTCTACATATACGAAATGCTACAACTGGCAGGCGAATTTGTCCTTCAAAAATAACTCCTAGATCACATTGTTAGCATGCATTGTGCAAAAAACATTTAGTCTGAACCGTATGTGAGAAGTCAGGTGAGATTTGAGCAGTCTATTGTGCATTGAGTTTTTAGAACTTGTAAACCAGCAAAGTGTGGTAAATATGCAAAGCACTTAGCAAGACAGATTACTTTTAGGAAGTGCTACTAACCAACCCTTGATGACATGCAGGGGGGCAGGTGTCGGGCGCTTGAAGAAAGGGTCACTATGTTCTCTGAAAAAAGTTGGCTAACCCTGTAAGTGTTATTAACAAAGTGTCATTGGATAGGACTGTGTTTACTGACTGGACTGTTGTAGCTTGTGCTATTCAGCATGTTAAAAGCACAAGCCCTGCTGAATCGCCGTTTACATTAATACACTAACACACATCTTATTGCTGCTCTCGTAATGCAGATTGCATCATATTTTTTGGTTGCTGTTCCCTTTCTTTTCATGTGCGTTCGCAGCAATCTAGGCAGACGCCAGACAGACCTCGGGTATGTTTCTTCTAAATTGCAAGTTTAAAAGGTGATGGCGATGTTTTTGAGAATTTTCAGTCAATCTTTTTATTTCTTCGCTTTGTGGCTGTCTAGAACGCACAGAATTAACTAGAAAAATACTATTTACACAGAGAGCAGTTCATAAATCTCAGTGACACGTGTATTTGTAATGGAGAATTGTGCAGCTTATTACTGGGAACACTTCACTACTTACGCTGTTATTGAATTGAAGATGTGAAAGCACTTGGCGTTCGTAAATGGGGGTGCCTATTGCACAGGCATTTGTTGCGGAGGCCTTGTGGAGCCCTGTAGTTTGAGCAGCCAGGAGAAACATCGACTGCTCTGGCCACATTTTTTTGCTTACCATAGAAGGTGAAGGAAGGGATAAGTGCTGCTCATAGTTTGCTATACTTTTATTACACCGACAGAAACACTGTACCAACTGAACAGCCTGCTTTAAGTGAAATAAATGTTCCCCTAGTTTTGAAGATATTTTTCCTCTGTAACTGTGTCAATATATTTGATGTTTTATCAAGGCCATGGGAAAAATATTTCCAGTTCATTCTAGGTCGCTGTTATATGTGTCTAGGAACAAGGGCACAGTGTTTTCATTTAATTACTACGCTTGTAACTAAAACAAGGCACTGAAATAAGTAAGATTTAAATTATAGTGTACACATATTAGGGGAGTGGTGATCTATGACAGGTCTTACAGTAACACTGTTACATCGCCTTGTTTTTCTGGTCGGCATGTTTGTTTGTGACTGCATTTCCCCTGTGGACGTGAATAGGACCGAATGGGCTATCAGAGCTTTGATGAGTGCTACCGCTGCCGTCGGACTGGCCACTGGGCCCGCGACTGCCCAGAGCTGGACCACGAGAGAGCCCGCTACTACGGTGGAGGGGGCGGGGGACGGTAAGGAACATTGGCTCAGTGCATATTTGTTGGAATAGGGATTTACCTTGGGGAAAGTACAGTAGTACCATACAATTCTAAGACTGCTCAGACTTACTACTGTATACTCTTTCTGTATTATAGTACATCAGGTCTATCCATGTCCAGTGAATGCGTGTGGGGCAAGAGCTGACTTGTAAGTAAGTTTTAGCGATGCTATCACTGTACCATTCAAGCATCCACAAACACATAGTAGCCTGGACAGATGTTGCCTGTCTTGTTAAGCAATCATAATATAGGCTGCAAATAAATTGTGCTTTATTTTCATGCGGGCCATGTGTGAATTTTAATTGGCTGGTCACCGGAGCTATATATGTACGTGTCGGATATATTCAATGCGCACGAACTAACTTACTGGGTGTTTCAACAACAAATAAATTATGGCCTGAAAAGGACACTGAGGCAAAAACAATTTACATCAGAGTAAGAAGTTTGAGAACGTCATTATTATCAAAATTATCAACAAAAATGAAGGTAAACGTGCGGCATCATATGCATCACCAGTGGGATATTTTGAAATGATCCCAGGGACGTCGAAATGCCTGACTAGAATTATCTATTAGTAACCAAACCAGATGAAATAAAAAATAGAACCTTTCATCCATAATAAAATGCTGCTGCTCCTTTTTTTTGTTATATACACATGCACATGGTGTCTAAATTATCAGGCAACGAGATTTAACAGGAAACGTGGGTCCTGGAATGACCGAAAAGTGCCAAAAACTTAGATTTTTTTGAAAGGCTTGTTTTCTGGGCACTTGTACTTCTGAGCACCTACTCCTGAATTACTAAGACTAAATTCGGTTTGTCTGCTTATGCACTCAAACCTATATAAAACGTACCCTGATATAACGAAGTAAATGAATAATTGTCTTCCAATAAACATAGTGTGCATTTATGGATGTAACGAACTTGTTTTTGTGTTAGATGTAACTTTGTCAGAGATGGAAGTGCTGCTCCAATTGCTCCCAACTGCTCCAAAAAAGAAATGCTGCTTCAAACAGGGATTTTTGAAGGTAACTGCTCCAAAATGGAGCTTGGAAACGGGAAACGGTGAACTTCAATCACGTCACCATCCCACAAGCCTAAAAGAAAACGAGAACTGGCTGTATACTGTCATATTGACAATGCTACATGTGCTAACATTCTGGATATATATATATAGCTGACACGCAGACTATTTTTAATAATGTGTGAGACGTGTTCAGCATCATAATGATTACCAATTGCTGCTGTGACGACTTTGATGTGTGACGGATTATATTTACCACTTTAGCAGCTTTGAGCTCATTTAGTATATCGCAAAAACTGACATTTCAAGTAAGCTCATCTAGCTCATTTAACTTAAAAACTTTTCAAGACTGCCCGTGGTGAAATATGAAAATAACGTACAGTACAGTGAAACCTCGTTAAACAGTAGTTGGCCCTAGCTCGGAAAAAGTGCGTACTAAACGGTAGTGCTGCTTAAGCAAAATAGAGTCAGGTCGCTCACTTACCTGTCAAAAAAAAAAAAAAGAAACCTTCAGGGAGTGCGATGAAAGAACAAAAACGTGCAGTAATTAACTTCGCGTGACAAAGTCTGTAATCTTCGTTTGACGACGCGGCAACCTAGCAGCAACAGCGGCCTCAAACTGACTTATGCTGTGAGCCAGCTTTTCCGCCAGCCCCCCTTTTCTCGGCAAATACCCGCATGACGCTGACGCAATGCGCAGCTTCGGCCACTGTCGGACCTGGATCCACCCGTGTTGTCGCTTTCCATGTCGTCCTCATCACTATCATTTGGCGACACTTCGACAAGCGAGGCAACAATGGCTTCGTCGGACATGTCCGGAGATGTCTGCACATCGCTGTCTGCGTCTCTGAACTCGTGGAAGGAAATGCCTTTCGTAACGTCCTGCCGCTCCAGCACTTCAGCTAGCAGAGTTTTGCAAGCTTCGTCTACAATGTCTGAAGTCTGGTCGGTGGTGTGTGTGTCACTGGCGTCATCTGCGTCACCCGCACACGCACTGAAGCCAGCACGCTAGAAGCAATTTTGAACTGTCGTTGCTTCAACCTGCCGCCACGAGTATTCGAGCGGGTGAATCGAGCCAATCAGGTCGACGGAGAATAATTTGCCACATTCAATGGCGAGAAAAAATCTGGGCCGCAGATTTTTTTTTGTGGAGCTGTTTTACAGCTCGAATGATTCCTTGGTCCAAGGGCTGGGCTAACGCTGTTGTGTTTGGTGGCAGAAACGCCAACTACACAGCCATCAGGTTGTCCAGGGCGACGTGCGCCGAAGCGTTGTCTAAAATAATAACAACTCTTCTGTTCTTAGCCGCAAAACGACGATCGATGAGGCGCAGGTACTCCTCAAAGTGTTTTGCCGTCATCCATGCTTTGGTGTTGCTGCAATAGATGACCCCTGATGGCAACCAGACGCCTTTGAAACATCTAGGCTTCGCAGACTTTCCAATTGCGAGGAGCGGAGTTTTGCCAGTTCCAGTCATGTTTATGCAAAATGCCTCTGATATTCTGTCTTTTGCATTCTTGCCGTCGGTGCACGTCTCGCCTTTGAACGCGAGCGTTTTGTCTGGTAGCAGCTTAAAGAATAGCGCCGATTTATGCATATTAAAGATGTCATCAGATGCGTAGTCTTCCAAGATGTTCTTTGACCATTTTGCCACTGCTCCGCGCCATCCACGTCAGCAGCAGCACCTTCTCCCGAAACAGTCCTCGTGGTAATGCTGTGCCTCGCCTTAAATCTGGCCAGCCAGCCATTACTGCACGCAAAGTTGTCATGGTTGAGCTGCGAGGCAAAAACCAGACCTTCTCCACGAGCACGGGTCCGCTGATAGGCAGATTTTTGACCGTGCAGATTTTAGCCACTTCACCAGCGCCTCCTCTACATCCGAAAACGCCGAACCGCATAGCCGGTACCTTTTCGCAGTTGTAGCAGCACTGCCGAGCAACTTCTCTCTGGCATTCCAAATTTCACACACCATGGTTAACGACAGGTCCTTTTCGCGTGCCAGCGCTGATTTTTTTTTCGTGCCACTTTCAATAGCACGAATTATGTCCAATTTCTCCTCTATTTTCAGCACTCGATGCTTTTGTCCCAGCTTCACCATGATGCAAGTACGAAGCAGTACAAGCACACATACACATCTCGTGAAAAACGAGGCGAGAGCTGTACGGCACAAATCAACCAGAGAACACCTATGCACGGCGCCAAAGGAACAAAGAAAGCAAAGCAAGCGCACACAGTGTTTGCGTGTTTGCGCAAAGTGCCATCGCATGGACAACAACAGAAGCCTAGCCGGCCGAGTGCTTCTTGTTGCAGAAAAAATTAAGAGATGGCGCTCGGCAACACAATTGTCATCATCATCAACACAAACGAGGCATGTTTCGATCTCTGGGCCTTGCTGTTCTGTCGGGACGCCCAGGGGGGGGGGGGGGCGACATGCCGCGGCGAGTGCGCAATGAAAATTGGAAAAACTACTTATTAACCCATACATACGCGATAAGCTGGTACGGCTTATGCGGATACAAAATGCATTATGTTCAATGGCCGCCGAGTCGGCGATTTGACTTCACTACTTCTAAAACGAAACTACTGTTTACGCGGGTACGGTTTAACGAGGTTTCACTGTACTCGTACCGATTCTAAGCTGCTGCTTTGGCAATAGTTGCATGGGCCTATAGCTGATTTTGTAATTTGGTGCTGAGCTTTGTCAGTTTTGTATGATGCCTACCAGAAGTACTGGCATTTCAAATATAGGTATCTCATCTTACTTGGTGTTATTTGGCCATTCATCTGCTTAATTATTTGTTTTGTGATATTTCAAGTTATTGGTATATGTGCAATATGTTTGATTAGTATTCCTACTTACAGGATACTTGGGTGATGTTTTAAACTGCAGGAGATTTGAAATATTTTGTCATCTGCTCCAAAAACGTCAATAGTTCCTCTAAACTAGCAATTTTTTCTGCTGTGGAATACGCTCCAAAAATCAAAATGCCACTTCTGTCACTGCTTTGTTGTAATGTGGTTAGTGTGTGACAAAGATCATCAACTGTTAAACCTTGAGAACTATTTAAAGATTGTGTTGGTAGATGACAATTTGGTTGTTTTTCGGTTTTACAGCATCACTGTTCGTGTCCCTTTTCTTTAATATATTTTCAACAGCAGGAGCCGCAGCCGTAGTCGCAGCCGCAGCAGGAGCCGAAGTGGACACAGATCGTACCGCCCCCGCGGTCGTCGCTCCCGATCAAGGTAACGTGCATATCACTCAAATATAATGCAAGTGTTTTCGTGGCAGGTGTCACTGGTTTTATTGTATTGTGGATGACGTGCTGACATGTTACTGTTGGCGTCGAGACGAAAGCTGAGAGGCTGAACACCCCTGAAAGGTCGAAAGAAGGGGAGATTTGTTTCGTGATATTTGTGGGGCGCCTGCAGCTTATGGAGCTGTTACGTTTGATGTGGTTGATTGTGACAGCATTCTGAACTCAACGCACACGTTTACGTTGTTTTAAAATGTCTGAGGTGGTTAGGTGCCCTTCAAGGCATTCTTTCAGCAATATGCTCCTGTGGCGACTACTTGCAAGCTCTACCGCTAAATGATCAGGCATGAATCTGCGGCAAAGCCCGTGAGAGAAGACTCAGTTTTACAGAAGACTGGAAGTTTGAGAGTGGTGGCAGAAAAACAATGGAACACACAATGAGAGGATTTTGCAGTAGCCATGTAAATGCTAAAGTTGGGAAAGTGTTCGAAGTCTCGAATTGTTAGCACAAACTGAAATCGTGAGGACTAATAAGCAGCTTGGTAGCACTGGCTGCCACTTTATGTAAGATCATGATAACATTCATCCATGCCTACCCCCAAATTTGCTATGGGCATTGGTGAGGGCGCTGTCTAACTGCATGTTGCCTCAAGCCATTTGTGGTTGCTTATGATGTGTTGAAGTTGTCTAGTCTTATCGCAAAGCTGATGCAATGTGCCGACAAAATGATGCAGTCTGTTGCACGTTCAGCGCGACCTAATGGTGTTGTACTTATTTACTGTGTTCAGGTCATCGAGCCATCGCCGCAGCTGGACTCGCTCACCTTCCCCACGTGACAGCCGAGTGAGTGTCTTGGGACAGGTTGCGCAATAGGTGCACTTGTTCTGGCAGTGCTTTGTTTGTGTGGGGGGAGTGGGGGGGAGCATAATGCCATCTCTGGGCGCGCTACTTTTCAGCTATGTTCAGGCAATTTCGTCTAGTGAATACAGTGAAACCTCGGTTGTTTAACTTACAGCAGACCACACAGCACTGTTGTGTCATCCAGGCATATTATGATCAGAAGACTAAGAATATTGGTACTGACGTTTACTTGTGCCCAAAAGTAGAGTACAGACCACTTCAGTAAGCTTGGAGCACTAACAAGGTCTACTCGTAGTTTTAAAAAGTTACAGCCAAGGATTTATTCGAAGAAGTTGTGAGTGAATGATTAATCGTGCTTAAGAAATTGAATTTACCCGCATCTAATTGCCTGTAAGATGTGTTCAAAAATTGCCTGCAAGTCGGAACACTGTGCAAAAGCAAACCATAACAGCAATAGCAGTGGCCTGCTGTTGAAGTGAGTCGGATGCAGTGTCACAGCTATCAGAACTGTCGTGGCAGATCCCAACTTGTTTCCAGGTCGCGTAGGTTCATTTCGTGCACCATTGTGGCCTCTGTACATCTTGCATGCTAAGTGGGAAAAGAGTTATTGGTTTGGTAGCGATAGTTGTATTGGTGACAAAAGAAAGTGCACCGTATTTTCCTCCGCTAGTGATAACTTGACATCGCCAAATCGCCATGGTCTGCTAGAATGGGGGAGGTATTGCACTGCACTCGTTCTGTCACTACTCTAAGCACGGGCAGGTAGTAGCTCGTGTGTTTAGGTTTTGCAGGCGAAGCCTATCCTTTCTTGTAAGGGTGGTGTGTCACCAAGGAGGGAACGAACTTCTTTTGTCGTTCAGTCAGAGTAGTGCTGTGTACACTGTCAGCTACTTTTAAAAAAAAAAAAAATCTGTACAGTATTTGTAAAGATGCATGGACTCTGCTGACCAGCCTTAACAACATATTCTAAGGACCAACTTAAGAAGGGGTTCAGCTTCCTGCAGCAGTGCTGCATGCATGCGACGTTTTTAAGTTATTATTTCTGCCTGATGTTTTAACAAAAATGATGAGGTATGCACTCAGACTGTCCAGTGTTCTCCAGTTGATCTACGAAAAAGGACAACAGTCTTTTTAAGTACGAAACTAGAGTATACTTTAGCTCGTTGAGGATCGTTGTTTTGAAATACTGTTTGTTTGTTAGGCATCAGGAACTATACTCTGTAGCACAAAGGTTACCTTTCATGTGTTTCTATCGGCACAACTACAGTTGACTCGCGATCATTCAAACTGATAACTCATACTTTCAGTTAATTCAAACAAAATTCAATTTTTTGGTTGGTCCTCTAGTCTTTCAATGTAATTGAAAGCCTGCTCATTCGAACTCCCATCATTCCGTCAGTTTATACTTTTTGGGGTTCCATACCAAGAAATATTTGCTGCTTTCCCACTACTACTTAAAAACTTGCGGGCCTATATAATTCTAACAGTCTAAAAATGAAACGTAAGCCCCAGAGGCCTTGAAAGAAAAAGGTTTTGCTAGTAAACAAATATTTGAAACAAAGCAGAAGCATGGTAAGCAGTGATGCTCCTCAACTGGTATAGAGTGTTGTGCTGAAGGCACACACCTGTAGCAAAGAAGCAGTTGGCAATTCATGATTTCTTTAAGGGGGCAGACTGGTGTTATTCATTTTTTTTTATTTATTCAGTGATCTTGATCAAACTGCACAAGATTATGCAGGTTTTTTATGAATTTGTCACTTTCGGTCCCAGAGACGGGTCTGCCTCCTTAATAATGGCCAATGTATTTGTGGACCTTACTTGTTCTCTGTTCTAATCATACTGTGTGGTGTCGCCTCACCTACTGTCATAGGTCTGAAAACATCTGATAATTGAAACAAAATTCACAGGTCCCTTCGAGCTTGAATTAACGAGAGTTGACTATACAGTGAAACCTCGTTAAACCGTACCCGCGTAAACAGTAGTTTCATTTTAAAAGTAGTGAAGTCAAATCCCCGACTCGGCGGCCTTTGAAAATACAGTTAAACTTCGTTATAACGAAATTGGAGGGCCGCCGCTATTTGCTCGTTTTAACCAATATTTCGTTATAGCCGTAGCGGGCATTTACCGCAAATATTATGCACTGTACTTACCCTAAAAAATAGCGGGCGAAATAGCATCCCGCCGCACAGTGGTGGGCAACAAAATAACCGCATTCCCAAATAAAAAGGAAAAAGTCATGCACCTGTTTTAATGCACTTCAAAATACACAGCTTGCATTTCATGCAGACTTGGCTGCAAAGAAGTCCGTAATTGGACGTTGATGCATCTTCCTGATGCGAACGATGGCTCGCTCAGCTGCGGCCGCAATGTTCAAGCCATCTTCGCCGCCCTCGTGAGCGCCGAAGTAGCGGCGCAGTACGTCCACCGCGTCTAATGCCTCCGACGCCGTCGGCACGTTTGTCTCCTGTTCGTCGACAGAGTCATGGTCACTGGTTTCGTTAAAATCACTGACAGCGCGCTCAATATCGTCATCCAGGAGCTGCTCCGTTGCCACCACTTCGAAGTCCGCACTCACATAGTCTCAAAACGACTCTCTGTCAGGCACGACACCGGCGTCACGAAGTGCCGTCCATGATGCAGCGACTTCGTCTGATGTGGCAAAACCGTCCGGCACAGTGGGCTCGTCTGATGGCTCATCGCTGGCGTCTGGTGCGGTGGCAAATGAGGCGTGTCGAAAGCAGTTTGCGATCGTGGTCGCCGTCACACTCATCCACGCCGCCTAAAGCATTTCGAGCGCAGCGTACAAGTCAACATCGGTGTCTCGCTTCATCCTCATGTTAAGGGGAGATGCTACTCGAAAAAGGTTTTTTTTTATTTCATAACCCAGCTCCTTGAAATTTTAGGTGTTAGTAAAGCTTGCAGTGCTGATTTCATAACTGCAATTATTTGTTTGATAGCTATAGTAGTTCCGGAGTTACTACAACTTTGATATCAAAATATAGTGTTTTTTGTGCACATAATAAAGCTTACTAAAAATTTTCACACAGAATTGCAAAATGGCTCATTCTGCTGCACTTGAGCAGTACAATACAGAAAAGTACCTCAAACAGAAAATTTATTTGCTACATTAAAAAAAAAAATTAAAAGTACTAAATGCATATTTTACATCTCTCTATCAGTGTATCAAGTTGTGTAACAAAAAATCTGTGATGTATAATGCAACCTAAAGTAGATACTTGTATTCTAGAGTGGCTGATTAAGCTCTGTGCAAAATTTCATCAAGATAGGACTATTTTATGCCTAAAAAAGATTGTGCACAAGATGAGAGAATTACCTCAAAATGGAAATCGAGAAAAATGCATTTGAAAGTTGTAAATATGTTTACTCATGATTACACAGTGCGATTTGCACAAAACTTGGTGATATCATAGAAGGGACACAGCTAGAGCACCTAAAATTGTCCTGCTCCATATGTGGATCCTTCTCGCCGCTTGAGAAGGGAGTCATCAAGGCGCGCTTTCTTTGCCACGTTCCGCCGATGGGCCCTTGCCTCGGCTGTTTCACACGCAGACATTCTTTCGATTCTCCTCTGGTCGCGGGATTGGCCCAGGGTGATCAGTTGATCCGGTGGGACTACACCAAGCTCCTCTAGCACGTGTTCAAAGCTTGAATGTCCTTTATTGAACCACAACACGGCCATAGCAGCTGCAGTTTCCACTGTTGTCCGGGAGGCAAACTTAGTCTTCGGACACAACAACCAGATTTTGCTGTTCAAAGATTCTGCAGCGTTTTGGGTCTTCCCTTGGATACAACGCACCAGCAACTTTTCATCTGTGAGCCGCTTGTAAATGGGAAGCACAGCCAATCCTTGAGCCTTGGTCAAGATTGGTGTGTGGTCGGGTGGGGCCTCCCCAAGCGCTTCAGCTCGCCTATGCTTGCACCAGGAAGTCGCCCCTTCTGGACAGTATCGGTGGCTGCCTGCTGTGTTGCTCGATGATGAATGGAAATATGAGGCCCAGATGGCACGATGCATTTTCAGAATATCACCTCTGTTGTTTGTGATTGCAATACGGTAATAGTTCTGCAGCTTCTGAATTGTGCCATCTGTCAGCTTTTCCCCTCGTGGAAGTCTTGTTGGCAGTTTCCGAAGTGCAGTGCCTAGACGCTTGGCCACATGGTTTGTGCACTCCTCCTTGTCCACAACAGCTTCACCATATACCTTGGCCTCAGCGACAGCGGTATAAGCTTTGCTGTCCCCATCACTGAGGAACTTGGTGAAGCGCAATGGTGTTGTGTATGAGGATGTCCTGCCCCATATGCGCAAAGCTGCCTCAGTCTCCATGGCATGAGAGGAGCACTCTGTATTTTTTTCGCAGACAGGTGTGTGGAATGCTTGCCATATTTCTTCCTCATCACCCAAGTCCTGGTGCCGGCTACAGGCAAGGCAGTAATTCGATAGCACTTCAAAATCTAGGCACAAACCAGTGTCCACAGACACAGCAGTGCCGATGCCATTGTGGCTCTTGTGCCCTCTTTTTTGCCATGTGCCATCATACATGACAGCAACATCAGCCCCATCCACTTTCTCTTTAGTTATCATCCGCGCTTTCGCCAGGTTTTCTTGCACAGCTTTGGTAGCTGCAGCATGAACTTTTTTGCCAATTGCAATAAAAGTCTTATGATGCATAGGTATTGGCAGTCCAAGAATAGCGCAAAAACGCGACAGCTGTTCATGCCCAATGCCTATTGCACGCGCAGCCACAACTACCTTCACATTGACAGCGAAGCTGTCACGCGAGCTGCCGCTTCGGTAGCTCCAGTCATCACCGGCATCGGTGGGCTGTCTTTCCGGCAGAACACGCCGCGAACTATGCGCGGCAGAAACCACTGACTCAGGACACTCACTGTTATCACAGTGCAGCTCGAGGAACGAAGAGAGGCCCTTACGTTTACTTGCGGTGTCGCGAACGACGAGTCCAGCG